TTGGTCGCTTTCTCGTTTTAAAACATGATATAGTAACCCCTCAATAACTCTTCAACATCTCAAATAGTGAGACTGAGTAGCTACCACATGGACAGACTTTATTAGTGTGTTTGTGTCGGGAGCATGTGGTCTATTTAGTCAGGCAATACTCACATTATTCTGACATATTTTAGAATGTAAAATGCATAATGCCATTGGGTAGAAATATTACAAATGTATTATTCTTAAAGTGGTAATGCATACTTTGCATACATTTTTGGGGGAGTTTTTTTTCTATAGGCTATTACAACAATTAGCCTAAATATTAAATGTAGGTAATTGAAAATTACAATTAAGTGCTTGAAAAAGCCCACGACTCCAACACCATCATTAAGTTTGCTGACCACACAACAGTGGTAGGTCTGATCACCGACAATGATGAGACAGCCTATAGGGAGGCCCACCAGTGCCACCAGTGGAAAAAGTTAGTGTAGAACCCTGGAGTGAATGTGAGAGAGAGAGCTGCTCTCTGTTACTCTGTCTATCAGTCCTACTTTAACTTGCAGATTTGCTATGCTCATGAGTGTGTGTGTATGCCAGTCTTTCTCTTGGCGTCTGCTTTCCCCCTGCTTTAACCTGAAGGTTATTGCTTTTAACTCAGATGGTGTCTATCGACATCCCAGTCGACCTGGCCAGGACCCGCTGACACAGGACTAGCCGGTCAGTCGTCAGATAATGTCTATCACTGACTCTCCCACCACAAACATACATGTTGCCTTTCCTCTCACTCTCTGGCACGCACACTCTTTCACGCTCAAGGTTTTCTTTGTACTTGTACGTGAGTTTGGGTACCCTAGACACTGGAAAGACTGCAGAATAAATAACCAGCCCCTGGGTAATATGTTGTCTCATGAGTTTTAAACTATGGCACACAAATACTACAATATGTCAGTGTGTGTTATTGTTCTTTACCGCCCCATCTATCATCAGGCTGGTAAGGCCACTGGCTATAGGAGAATAGAATGTAGAATAGAACCGGAGAAAAGAATGTAAGAGAAAAGTATGAAAACGTATGCACTCACTCCTGTAAGTCGCTCTGGATAAGAGCGTCTGCTAAATGACTAAATTGTCAAATGTATAATGTAGGACAAAAAAAATAAACATTTTCGAGGAGGCTGGGAGTAAGTGCTGCTTCTAGAAAATAAGTCTACAGTTACCTTGGCAACGTGAGGTGGAAGTCAGCACCGCTTTCCAAATAACCAATTATCCCCATGTGAGTATGTCTGGAAGAGAAAGAGTGTGTGTGAGGATTTTCTAATAGCTTTAGTCGACTTAGCTGAGGAACCATTCACCAGGCCACCATATTTCTTGATGGAAAAAAATTGGACAGTTAAGCAGAGGGGACACTTATGTTGATTACCAATGCAGAGTAAGGGCCTCAGCTTAGTCTAATCAGAGACAGTGTGAGACAAAGTCCTGCATGGCACCCGAGTGATGTGTGTGTGTGTGTGTGTGTGTGCATGCGTCTTACGCTGGTGCTGGCGTCTAATTAGGGTCTTTGATAAACATGGTGAACTACGGGAGCAGCTGAATGCCCCCCTCCTCCCTCCTCCCTCAGATTAAGAGCGGAGCAGGAACGGTAATGGTTTTGGGGGTGGAGGACATATTTCACTCTTTTGTTTGCCGCACTTCCAAGTGTGTGATTGACACAGGAGAGGGCAGTCAGAGACAGGAAGTGAGGCGTGGGGCTGAAAGAGGAAGGAGGCTCGTGTTTATCATTTTCTCACACTACTCCTTCTCCTACCACAACAAAGCTCTCTCATTGTCCTGCAGCTTCCCTCTTCTCCTCCGCTGTCACTCTGCCCATCAACAGCACAGTGAGCCAGGGAGATGACAGAAAGAGTGACTGTATGTCCTCCAGACATAGATTTCCCTCTGTCCAATGTCATGGTGCCTGTGGGGTGTTGGTTTGGAGACGCCAACCTCTCTCCATGTGTCGACTGATGCACTTTGACCTTCTCTAAAAGGCTTTGTCGGACCTCAGATTGGCATATACAGTGCATTCGGAAAGTATTGAGACCACTTCCCTTTTCCACATTTTGTTACGTTACAGCCTTATTCTAAAATGGATAACATTATACAATACCCCATAATTACAAAGCGCAAAACAGGTTAAGACATTTTTGCAAATGTATTAAAAATAAAAAACAGAAATACCTTAATTACATAAGTATTCAGACCCTTTCCATTGATCATCCTTGAGATGTTTCTACAACTTGCTTGGAGTCCACCTGTGTTAAATTCAATTGATTGGACATGATTTGGAAAGGCACACACCTGTCTATATAAGGTCCCACAGTTGACAGTGCATGTCAGAGCATAAACCAAGCCATGAGGTCGAAGGAATTGTCCGTAGAGCGCAGAGACAGGATTGTGTCGAGGCACAGATCTGGTGAAGGGTACCAAAACATTTCTGCAGCATTGAAGGTCCCCAAGAACACAGTGGGCTCAATCATTCTTAAATGGAATAAGTTTGGAACCACCAAGACTTTTCCTAGAGCTGGCCGCCCGGCCAAACTGAGCAATCGGGGGAGAAGGGCCTTGGACAGGGAGGGGTCCAAGAACCCGATGGTCACTCTGACAGAGCTCCAGAGTTCCTCTGTGGAGATGGGAGAACCTTCTAGAAGTACAACCATCTCTGCAGCACTCCACCAATCAGGCCTTTATGGTAGAGTGGCCAGACGGAAGCCACTCCTCAGTAAAAGGCACATGACAGCCCGCTTGGAGTTTGTCAAAAGGCACCTAAAGACTCTCAGACCATGAGAAACAAGATTCTCTGGTCTGATGAAACCAAGATTGAACTCTTTGGCCTGAATGCCAAGCGTCACGGCTGGAGGAAACCTGGCAACCTCCCTATGGTGAAGCACGGTGGTGGAAGCATCATACTGTGGGGATGTTTTTCAGCAGCAGGGACTAGGAGACTAGTCAGGATCGAGGGAAAGATGAACAGAGCAAAGTACAAAGAGATCCTTGATGAAAACCTGCTCCAGAGTGCTCAGGACCTCAGACTGAGGCGAAGGTTCACCTTCAAACAGGACAACAACCCTAAGTACACAGCCAAGACAACGCAGGAGTGGCTTTGGGACAAGTCTCTGAATGTCCTTGAGTGGCCCAGCCAGAGCCCGGACTTGAACCCGATCAAACATCTCTGTTGAAGAGACCTGAAAATAGCTGTGCACCAACGCTCCCCATCCAACCTGACAGAGCTTGAGAGGATCTGTGGAGATTAATGGGAGAAACTCCCCAAATACAGGTGTGCCAAGCTTGTTGCGTCATACCCAAGAAGACTCAAGGCTGTAATCGCTGCCAAAAGGTGCTTCAACCAAGTACTGAGTAAAGGGTCTGAATACTTATGTAAATGTTATATTTCCGGTTTTTTTCTTTTAAACCTTTTTTTTCTTTGTCATTATGGGGTATTGTGTGTAGATTGATGAGGGGGGAAAAAACAATTTAATCCATTTTAGAATAAGGCTGTAATGTAACAAAATGTGGAAAAAGTCAAGGAGTCTGAATACTTTCCGAATGCACCTGTATAGCCGGAGGGGCATTAGTGGCGGGCATACACATCATTTGCACTCAAACAGAATAAACAAACCCCTCTAAAAACACTACAAATTCAAAACGCATCCCAAATACTCAAACCACATACAACACCACACACAAAACACATCCTTCAAAACAATATCCCCAGACAGCAGAAAAACTGAGATTGACTAAACAGATAATAATACATAGCCAAATGATCCAGACATTTTCACATTCACATTTATTTCCCATGATTTCATAGCAAGCTTCAACTTATTTGTGTTACAATCAAATTAAAAGGTTTCTGCAGTTTGCTTTTTTTACTCCCACAAACGCCCAGCACAATGGTGGACTAGCATTTCCCTACCAGAAACACACACACACACACACACACACTTCCTCATATACATACAGGGTCGCATCTCACAAATAAAATATAATAAAATAAATTACAAAAATAACATTATTAGCCATGCACTGACTGTACATACGCAACCAAAACGTAATACCTACATCTTGAAAAAAAAAACTCTAAAACAAATCTCTATGCTACTCCCAAAAAGCAACACCCTTTCTAAGATGGAGTACCATTGCCCTGTACGGGCAACCAACTAAGCTTACAAACAGACTGGAGAAATCCATGTACTTCTCAGTACCGCAAAATAGATCCACAACATCAACATGAGCTTCTGACCTTTTAGGTGAGGATTGTAAATGTGACTTTTGTTCTCTCCTGTACCTCTGGGTTCATGCGTACGGTATGTATGTTGATTTGTTACATGTGCAAATGGTTCTACATTGCTTGCTACTTTCCTGGTATGCTAATTGTGCATTACTGTTATTAGTTGGTCATTGTGTAATACTGTAGTCTTTATGCAAATATGACCGAGGTGTACATTCCATCTCAACTTGTGTGTAACAATATAATTACATATAGACATAGAGTGTGTAAATAGAGATTTATAGATTGTCATTTTCATGACAAATGGGGACATTACACCAAAACCCTTGTGTTAACTTGTGTTATTTGTCTAATGTGTCTATTCGTTGTACAACACTTCTAAACATTCTATCTAAATCTGTTTGAGATACGCAAGGCAGATAAGTATGGATGTGGTATCCATAATGCACCAAGGACAGAGGGGGAGGAGTGAGTGAGGTCAGAGCAAAAGGGGGGATATCTGGGAGGAGGGGGTAGGAGGAGAAGGAAAATATGGTCTGTTTCATCTAGGAGGCAACAAGAGTTTGTGGTTTGAACTATGCTGTAGGGACAGGAGTTTTTCCTGAACACTTGTCTCGACCAGGAAAAAAAAAAACTTTGGCTCCTAGCCCTGAGTTTTTCGTAGGTATGTCACAACATGGTCAGGAGAAACTCCTCGAGCTAGGGTCACAAAAGGGACTGGGTTAAGAGTGGTTAAGTAGTGGTCAGGGTTAAGAGTGGTTAAGTAGTGGTCAGGGTTGGGTAGTGGTCAGGGGTTTTGAGCTAGGTGAGTGAGTCTCTGTGGTTGTTGTAATCGGAGTCGGAGAGGTGGTTGTCGTGGGGGTCTGCGGTGTCGGGGTCGTTGTCAGGTTCATCGCCACTCTCGGCGCTGTAGTCCACCTCCTCCATGAAGGAGTGCTCTTCGTCCTCCAGCACATACGTACTCGGGCTGCTGCTTGACAACAACACAACACATCAAACAGTCAGTCCATTATTCTAGGCATGCTCAATTAAAAAAATCTAAGTCCTTGAAAGCAAACAAAAAAGATTTGAACCTGGGTCTGGACAGAAATTAAATATACATTATTTATATGATTTCAGAAAGAAATTCAGAAAGATAAAACTAGTGACAGGTAATAAAAAGTATACTAACAACAAAAAATCACATCAACTCACTAATCGTGCTGCATTTCTGTTAGAGACATCTCCTTTATGCGTCAGTTTAGTGGTTTAATGGTTAAACGTCTCAGAGGTTTAGTGGTTTTAGTGGTTTTTAATGGTTTTTAATGGTGTGAGGGCTTTGAAAGAGGATCCCATGGAGACAGTGGATGAGGGGGTTCAGACATTGACCCCTGCTCCCCCCTCACCCCGCCCCTGAGAGAGGTAAAGTGGATTAGGAGGAGGGTGTGACGGGGTGTAATTGTGTAATGGGCTGGATGGACAGAGTGCTGTCTGGAGAGGAGTGTTAAGATCCCAGAGTGAGAGAGCTTGAGCCATTACAGTCCATTAGAGAAAGATTGCAAGGGCCAAACTCACTCACACTGGACCGGCCACACACACACACTTGCACTGTATATATACAGAATATGTATGTGCATACACACACACACACACACACACACACACACACACACCATTCCAATCCTATTGTTATTATGATATCATGGGTCTGATGATTAAAAATTGAATGATAAAAAGCATAAAATCATAAAACTGTTATGAGCCTATAGCCAAGCCCTGAGGTCTCTAACCTGGCTGCTTGAAAGGCTTCAATAAATAAATACATCAATTATACATGGCTAAATCAATACATGAGGAGAAGAGATTTGTAAGAAGGAGCCACATTGACATGTCATGAGGATGCTGAAGATGATGACAGCGAACAATGCAGCTACACTACTGTCCTGAGTGCTGGCCACACTGCAACTGTCAATTAAACTAGTGGATCATGTTTGGTTTAAAAGTTGGAGAGTATGACTGTGTGTGTGTGTGTGTGTGTGTGTGTGTGTGTACAGTGGGGGAAAAAAGTATTTAGTCAGCCACCAATTGTGCAAGTTCTCCCACTTAAAAAGATGAGAGAGGCCTGTAATTGTCATCATAGGTACACATCAACTATGACAGACAAATTGAGATTATTTTTTCCAGAAAACCACATTGTAGGATTTTTTTATGAATTTATTTGCAAATTATGGTGGAAAATAAGTATTTGGTCAATAACAAAAGTTTCTCAATACTTTGTTATATACCCTTTGTTGGTAATGACACAGGTCAAATGTTTTCTGTAAGTCTTCACAAGGTTTTCACACACTGTTGCTGGTATTTTGGCCCATTCCTCCATGCAGATCTCCTCTAGAGCGGTGATGTTTTGGGGCTGTCGCTGGGCAACACGGACTTTCAACTCCCTCCAAATATTTTCTATGGGGTTGAGATCTGGAGACTGGCTAGGCCACTCCAGGACATTGAAATGCTTCTTACGAAGCCACTCTTTCGTTGCCCGGGCGGTGTGTTTGGGATCATTGTCATGCTGAAAGACCCAGCCACGTTTCATCTTCAATGCCCTTGCTGATGAAGGAGGTTTTCACTCAAAATCTCACGATACATGGCCCCATTCATTCTTTCCTTTACACGGATCAGTCATCCTGGTCCCTTTGCAGAAAAACAGCCCCAAAGAATGATGTTTCCACCCCCATGCTTCACAGTAGGTATGGTGTTCTTTGGATGCAACTCAGCATTCTTTGTCCTCCAAACACGTCAAGTTGAGTTTTTACCAAAAAGTTATATTTTGGTTTCATATGACCATTTGACATTCTCCCAATCCTCTTCTGGATCATCCAAATGCACTCTAGCAAACTTCAGACATGTACTGGCTTAAGCAGGGGGACATGTCTGGCACTGCAGGATTTGAGTCCCTGGCGGCGTAGTGTGTTACTGATGGTAGGCTTTGTTACTTTGGTCCCAGCTCTCTGCAGGTCATTCACTAGGTCCCCTCGTGTGGTTCTGGGATTTTTGCTCACCGTTCTTGTGATCATTTTGACCCCACGGGGTGAGATCTTGCATGGAGCCCCAGATCGAGGGAGATTATCAGTGGTCTTGTATGTCTTCCATTTCCTAATAATTAACTCCCACAGTTGATTTCTTCAAACCAAGCTGCTTACCTATTGCAGATTCAGTCTTCCCAGCCTGGTGCAGGTCTACAATTTTGTTTCTGGTGTCCTTTGACAGCTCTTTGGTCTTGGCCATAGTGGAGTTTGGAGTGTGACTGTTTGAAGTTGTGGACAGGTGTCATTTATACTGATAACAAGTTCAAACAGGTGCCATTAATACAGGTAACGAGTGGAGGACAGAGGAGCCTCTTAAAGAAGAAGTTACAGGTCTGTGAGAGCCAGAAATCTTGCTTGTTTGTAGGTGACCAAATACTTATTTTCCACCATAATTTGCAAATAAATTCATTAAAAATCCTACAAGGTGATTTTCTGGATTTTTTTTCTTCTCAATTTGTCTGTCATAGTTGACGTGTACCTATGATGAAAATTACAGGTCTCTCTCATCTTTTTAAGTGGGAGAACTTGCACAATTGGTGGCTGACTAAATACTTTTTTTCCCCACTGTATGTGCGCGCACGCCAAGGTTATTACAGTTTTGTGATTTAATACTATTTTTTATTTCTATTAGTTGTTCGATTTATTTGAAATTCAGTTTAGTTTCAGTTTGTTTTTAGGCTTGATTTACTAGTTTTTATTTAGTTTCAGTTTGATAAAAACACTTTCATTTTTATATGATTTAGTTTCAGTTTTAGAGTTAGGGACAAAAGGTAGCCTATGCATGGGAGGCTAGGAGCCATATATGTGTTGTATGCCTATAGTTAATTTTTTTGGGATGTCACTCTTTGCCAATGGGGGGCAGTAATACATAAATAAGGTGATGGGCCAGGACCATAGACATAACATCTCTGTCCCATGATGGCGTCTGTGAGAGCATGGGCAGCACCATTGAGGCCATCTCTATCTTGAAATAGTACATTTTCTTTTTCACAAGTAAAAATAATTGGCTGATCCCTCCTGATGACCCAGCTGTCACGACTCCAACCGGGTCATCAGGTCATGCCAAACGGGTCATCAGGAGGGATCAGCCAATGAAGTTGGAAGTCCCTCCCAGTTGACTAAATCAAAATTGCGAAAGTCCTCAATGGTGCTGCCCATGCTAACACAGGCTTTTGGCCACTAGAGGACTCCATACAACTCCATGGCCAGGACATAGGTTTGGTTAGGTTTCAATTATAAATCTATCCTAATGTGACTTGGATTTAAAGGATAAGCGCCTAGACTGATGCAAGAAATATGATTGAAGGAAACTCTTGCCAATGTTCACACCAATCCAATTTTTTTTTTTACTTTAGTAGTTGATGTAAACTGAATCAAGTACCTTTACCTTTATCTGACTGACAGAGACAGAGGAAAAAACAACAAATGAAGTCATGGCACATCACTGACTAACCCCTTCAAATAGGGTAAATAAAAACAGCTGGTGTGAGCATGCGGGTCTGGGCAGATGAGATGTAGTCATTGTTTGTGTCTGTAAGTTGTTCTTCGTATGTATAAGCTTGTTTTTGGAGTGTAAAAAATTAAATAACAAAAATAAAATAAGCCGCAAAAACATAAGCAATACAACACTTCTTCACAAATCTATCAGTTCACAGCCAGCCAGCTTGTGTGTGTGTATGTGTTTCTGTTCAATCAAACAATAATTTCTGTTTTATCTTCAAGAAGAATCTGCGTCCAGAGAGGTGGTCGTTCGGTTTCTCAAGCCTGATGACATGCTGAATATTCTCTCCACGAACGCTTGGGATGCAGGGACAGAAACCAGATCCAGTGCCACAGGGCACAGCTTTGGATAAACAGCCAGAACTGGAGAGGTGACTCTGTAAACATGCCCCCCTTTACCTCTTCCAGGTATTTCCGCAGCTCACACGGGGCACTTCATGTCCTGCCAGGTCGACCCTCTTGCTGCACAGTGACCTCAGACACAATCTTCGATGCGAGGAAGCTATATTTCTGAAGAACTGTGGTTGAGATGCTTGCTGGATTCAACGTGCTGGCATCTTTCGGGGGTCGTGCTGCTCCACAGCAGTACTGTCCGAATTGCTGAAGTACAAAAGACTGCTTCCCTCATCAGTGGCTCCATCTCTGTTGAGCGAAGTGCCAGAGATGCACTTGGGTCCATCTGGCAAGCTGCTGCAGGGGCTGGATCGAAGTTGGCTGCCAGAGGATTCAATATGACTTCAGGTGGACCTGTCCCATCTGTTTTGCAACAGAAGCCTCAAGGTTGAGAAGGCACAGCACCACATCAGACAGCAACTGGCTGTCAGTTTGAAGTTGGTTGGTGTGGATTGCGAACGGCTCCAGCAACTTCAAAAGATGCTCTAGCTTGGCCCATTCACGCGCCGTGCTCGCCCCCAGATTTCTTCCCTGTTAGCTAGTGATAGCTAGTGATAGCTAGTGATAGCTAGTGATAGCAATGCACAAGATAGGCCTATTTGAAACATTAGCATTTACTGGCAGCATTTACCCACCAGATTCAGAAGATTGAAAACCCCATTCGATTTTTGCCCAAAGTTTTGAAAAAAATATTAAAAAATAAACATAATTTATGATGGTTTTTATCTTATATGAGTTCGTTTCAGTATCGTTTTTATTTTTGTTTACTATAGTAACCTTGGTGTGTGCATGTGTCTGACCTGGTGACTTTGCAGCGTGTCTCGATCAGGTCACTCTCGACGTCCAGCAGGTGGGCGTGGTTCCTCAGCTCCAGGGGCGAGGTCAGTCTCTTCAGCCTGAGCAGAGCCACACAGAACTGGGCTCCCATCTCCTCCAGCTCCCTGGTGCCTATCTGGAGACCCTGGACACACACATTATTACATTATTATTATTATTATTTACACTTATAAACACTGCGCATGCACACACACACACACACACACACACACACACACGGCAGGTAGCCTAGTAGTTAGAGTGACAAGGTGAAAAATCTGTCGATGTGCCCTTGAGCAAGGCACTTAACCCTAATTGATCCAAGGTCACCGTTGATAATGGCTGACCCTGGCCATGACTCCACTCTTCGAGAGAGTCTCAGGGGGAGTTGGGAGATGCAAAAATATATATCTACAATTTACACATGCTTATAATACAGACCTGTACATTTTTATTTATTTATTTATTTAACCTTTATTTAACCAGGTAAGCCAGTTGAGAACAAGTTCTCATTTACAACTGCGACCTGGCCAAGATAGAGCAAAGCAGTGCGATAAAAACAACAACACAGAGTTACATATGGGGTAAAACAAAACATAAAGTCAAAAATACAACAGAAAATATATATACAGTGTGTGCAAATGTAGCAAGTTATGGAGGTAAGGCAATAAATAGGCCATTGTGCAAAATAATTACAATTAGTATTAACACTGGAATGATAGATGTGCAAGAGATGATGTGCAAATAGAGATACTGGGGTGCAAATGAGCAAAATAAATAACAATATGGGGAATGAGGTAGTTGAGTGGGCTAATTTCAGAAGGGCTGTGTACAGGTGCAGTGATCGGTAAGGTGCTCTGACAACTGATGCCTAAAGTTAGTGAGGGAGATAAGAGTCTCCAGCTTCAGAGATTTTTGCAGTTCGTTCCAGTCATTGGCAGCAGAGAACTGGAAGGAATGGCGGCCAAAGGAGGTGTTGGCTTTGGGGATGACCAGTGAGATATACCTGCTGGAGCGCATAATACGGGTGGGTGTTGCTATGGTGACCAATCAGCTAAGATAAGGCGGAGATTTTCCTAGCAGTGATTTATAAATGACCTGGAGCCAGTGGGTTTTTGCGACGAATATGTAGTGAGGACCAGCCAACAAGAGTGTACAGGTCACAGTGGTGGGTAGTATATGGGGCTTTGGTGACAAAACTGATGGCACTGTGATAGACTACATCCAATTTGCTGAGTAGAGTGTTGGAGGCTATTTGTAAATGACATCGCCGAAGTCAAGGATCGGTAGGATAGTCCGTTTTACAAGGGCATGTTTGGCAGCATGACTGAAGGAGGCTTTGTTGCGAAATAGGAAGCCGATTCTAGATTTCACTTTGGATTGGAGATGCTTAATGTGAGTCTGGAAGGAGAGTTTACGGTCTAACCAGACACCTAGGTATTTGTAGTTGTCCACATACTCTAGGTCAGACCCGTCGAGAGTAGTGATTCTAGTCGGGTGGGCGGGTGCCAGCAGCGTTCGATTGAAGAGCATGCATTTAGTTTTACTAGTGTTTAAGAGCAATTGGAGGCTACGGAAGGAGTGTTGTATGGTATTGAAGCTCGTTTGGAGGTTTGTTAACACAGTGTCTAATGAAGGGCCAGATGTATACAAAATGGTGTCGTCTGCGTAGAGGTGGATCTGAGAGTCACCAGCAGCAAGAGCGACATCACTGATATACACAGAGAATAGAGTCAGCCCAAGAATTGAACCCTTTGGCACCCCCATAGAGACTGCCATAGGTCCAGACAACAGGCCCTCCGATTTGACACATTGAACTCTATCTGAGAAGTAGTTGGTGAACCAGGCGAGGCAGTCATTTGAGAAAACAAGGCTATTTAGTCTGCCAATAAGAATGCGGTGGTTGACAGAGTCGAAAGCCTTGGCCAGGTCGATGAAGACGGCTGCACAGTAATGTCTATTATCGATCGCGGTTATAATATCGTTTAGGACCTTGAGCGTGGCTGAGGTGCACCCATGATCAGCTCAGAAACCAGATTGCATAGCGGAGAAGGTACGGTGGGATTCGAAATGGTCGGTGATCTGTTTGTTAACTTGGCTTTCAAAAACCTTCGAAAGGCAGGGCAGGATGGATATAGGTCTGTAACAGTTTGGATCTAGAGTGTCACCCCCTTTGAAGAGGGGGATGACCGCGGCAGCTTTCCAATAATAATAATAATAATAATAATAATAATAATAAGCCATTTAGCAGACGCTTTTATCCAAAGCAACTTACAGTCATGCGTGCATACATTTTTTGTGTATGGGTGGTCCCGGGGATCGAACCCACTACCTTGGCGTTACAAGCGCCGTGCTCTACCAGCTGAGCTACAGAGGACCACAATCTCTGGGGATCTCAGACGTTACGCAAGAGAGGTTGAACAGGCTAGTAATAGGGGTTGCGACAATTTCGGTGGCAAATTTTAGAAAGAAAGGGTCCAGATTGTCTAGCCCAGATGATTTGTAGGGGTCCAGATTTTGCAGCTCTTTCAGAACATCAGCTGTCTGAATTTGTGTGAAGGAGAAGCGGGGGGGGGGGCATGGGCAAGTTGCAGCGGAGGGTGCAGAGCTGGTGGCCGGGGTAGTGGTAGCCAGGTGGAAAGCATGGCCAGCCGTAGCAAAATGCTTGTTGAAATTCTCGATTATTGTAGATTTACCGGTGGTGATAGTGTTTCCTAGCCTCAGTGCAGTGGGCAGCTGGGAGGAAGTGCTCTTATTCTCCATGGACTTTACAGTGTCCCAAAACTTTTTGTAGTTAGTGCTACAGGATGCAAATTACTGTTTGAAAAAGCTAGCCTTCGCTTTCCTAACTGCTTGTGTATATTGGTTCCTAACTTCCCTGAAAAGTTGCATATCGCGGGGCTATTCGATGCCAATGCAGTACGCCACAGGATGTTTTTGTGCTGCTTATTTAAGACTGATAGGAAAGCACTTTTAAAGAACAACCAGGCATCCTCTACTGACGGAATGAGATCGATATCCATCCAGGATACCTGCGCCAGGTCAATTAGGAAGGCCTGCTTTGCTAAAGTGTTTTAGGGAGCGTTTGACAGTGATGAGGGGTGGTCGTTTGACCGCGGACCCGTTACGGACGCACGCAAGGCAGTGATCGCTGAGATCCTGGTTGAAGACAGCGGAGGTGTATTTAGAGAGTAAGTTAGTCAGGATGATATCGATGAGGGTGCCCATGTTTACGGATTTAGGGTTGTACCTGGTAGGTTCCTTGATAATTTGTGTGAGATTGAGGGCATCTAGTTTGGATTGTAGGATGGCCGGGGTGTTAAGCATATCCCAGTTTAGGTCACCAAGCAATACGAACTCCGAGGATAGATGGGGGGCAATCAATTCACATATGGTGTCCAGGGCACAGCTGGGGTCTGAGGGGGGTCTGTAGCAAGCGGCAACAGTGAGAGACATTTCTGGAAAGGTAGATTTTTAGAAGTAGGAGCTCAAACTGTTTAGGCACAGACCTGGATAGTATGATAGAGCTCTGCAGGCTATCTCTACAGTAGATTGCAACTCCACACCCTTTGGCAGTTCTATCTAGACGGAAAATGTTGTAGTTGGGGATGGAAATGTATGAATACATGTGTGAAACTATAAGCACCAACCAACCTAATTATTATCACACACACACTTCTGTCCCACGTGCAATCTCTCAAGTCCACAGAGGGCTTCCAGTAATATGTCTGTAGCAGAGCAGAACTAAAAAGAGGATACTGGCTTGGCGGGACCATGGGAAATAGAACCTCAACAAAATACGATCCCTGCACATCTGTCCAAACACTTTCCCCATACATACATAACCTAATCAGCAGGGACGGAAGGAGAGGGACCATGCAAAACAGGCAACCCTAGCCTGCCCCTGGGCTCTGCAGATGTTGACATTGGCAACCCCAATGCTGAGAGAGGGAGAGGAGCTGACAGAGGTTTCTGCACTCACTGGACACTCACAGACCGACAGGCAGAACATCAGCTCAGTCATCATGGCTGGCACACACACACACACAGTGTTTAGTGGAGAAGTCATAAGCCTGGTGATGCTGCTTTGAGTCACTAACTGTATGATTTACAGAACTATGGCTCCCCCTGCTGGTTGTTGGTCCACACACACACACCCACCACAGGCTGGCTGTATCCACACACACACACACACACACACACACACACACACACCTTGCAATTGTCATTGCTGGGACACACACCCACACACCTTGTATTTGCCCTGGTCACAGCCACAGAGTGTGCTCTCCATAGTGTAGCTGCGCTGGACTCCGATCTCCCTCCAGACCACCACGCGGGCGGTGGCCTCCTTGGAGCGCTCCACCACAAAGCTGCAGCTGGCCATGCTGAAGGCCGGCGCTGTCTGGGACAGGATCTTAGGCAGAGTCTGAGGGAGGGAGAAAAGTTATAGTGTGACACCTATAGACAACAGACAGTGAGGTCTGTGTCGGAGAGAGGATACGCTATGGATGGATGGGAGATGGTGGGGTTATGGTACAGGCAGGCTTAAGCTAAGGACACCGAACACAATTGCATTTTATCGATGGCAATTTTAATGCACAGAGATACCATGACAAGATCCTGAGGCCCATTGTTGTGCCATTCATCCACCACCATCACCTCATGTTTCAGCATGATAATGCACAGCAAATAATGGAAATGGTGGTCACACCAGATACTGACGGGTTTTCTGATCTATACCCTACTTTTAAAAAAAAGGTATCTGTAACCAACAGATGCATATCTGCATTCCCAGTCATGTGAAATCCATAGATTAGGACCTAATTAATTTATTTCAATTGACTGATTTCCTTATATGAACTGTAACTCAGTAAAATCTGTTGCGTTTATATTTTTGTTCAGTATATGTGTGAGTGTACTGTATGTGTGTGCGCGTGTCTCACCCTGTAGCCAAGGTCTTCGTGTAGGTCACAGGATGTCGCGCTGATGTTGGTCTGCCATACGGTCTCCTTCAAACTACAACCGTACATGAACACATTCTTCTTCCGGGAGTGACCGTGGTAGTCACAGAACACCTACATCCCAGAGGGAGGGAGAGGACTCAGACACACAGGGAAGTGGACGACTGAACTTATGAAGACAATCGAACTTCATCAATCTGGCTTTCCCGCCACAACTGTTAGGGAAAGTGACATGGTTAAGGTCATGGCTAAGGAAAGGGTTAGCATGACCGAGTTAGCCACGTGCGACCAGCGCTGTAAGGGTATCGTGGGCTATGGCACACATATGGCGGTTACGGTAAGCGTGGTTGGGCTCACCAGTGGCGCCCTCTGGATAGCGGCGAGGTACTGCAGCAGGCTCTTGGTGTGGTAAATGGTAGGATGCAGCTCAGGACTGGGGCTCTGCCACTGTCGGTTCAGATCCTCCCCACTCAGAGAACAACGGTGACTGGAGGGAGAAACAGGGCGAAGAAATAGTGCGGTTGTTATATACAGTGCCTTCCGAAAGTATTCACACCACTTGACTTTTTCAAAATGTTGTTGTGTTACAGCCTGAATTTAAAATAGATTAAATTGAGATTTCTTGTCACTGGCCTACACAGAATAGGTCAAAGTTCATTCCAAAGAAAAGCTGAAATGTCTAGAGTCAATAAGTATTCAAGCCCTTTGTTATGGCAAGCCTAAATAAAGTTCAGGAGTAAAAATTTGCTTAAGTCACATAATAAGTTGCATGGACTCATTCTATTTGCAATTATAGTGTTTAACATGAGTTTTGAATGACTACCTAATCTCTGCACCCCACATATACAATTATCTGTAAGTTCCCTCAGTCGAGCAGTGAATTTCAAACACAGACTCAACCACAAAGACCAGGGAGGTTTTCCAATGCCAAGCAAAGAAGAGCACCTATTGGTAGATGAAATAATAAAATAAAAAAAAGTAGACATTGAATATGCCTTTGAGCGTGGTGAAGTTATTTATTACACTTTGGATGGTGTATCAATACACCCAATCAGTACAAAAGATACAGGCATCCTTCCTAACTCAGTTGCTGGATAGGAAGGAAACCGCTCAGGGATTTCACCATGAGGCCAATGGTGACTTTAAAACAGTAACAGAGTTGAATGACTTTGATAGGAGAAAATTGAGGATGGATCAACAACATTGTAGTTTCTCCCCAATACTAACATAAATGACAGAGTGAAAAGAAGGAAGCCTGTACAGAATACAAATATTCCAAAACATGCATCCTGTTTGCAACAAGGCACTAAAGCAATACTGCAAAACATGTGGCAAAGCAATTAACACTTTGTCCTGAAAACAAAGTGTTATGTTTGTGGCAAATACAATACATTACATAGTTCCACTCTCCATATTGTCAAGCATAGTGGAGGCTGCATGATGTTATGGGTATGCTTGTAATCGTTAAGGACTGGGGAGTTTTTCAGGATAAAAAAGAAACGGAATGGCGCTAAGCACAGGCAAAATCCTAGAGGAAAACCTGGTTCAGTCTGCTTTCCACCAGACACTTGGAGATGAATTCACCTTTCAGCAGGAATAATAACCTAAAACACAAGGCCAAATCTACACTTACTTGCCGTTGACCACTCCGTCAGGGTTGAGCATTGGGACTATCTTGAAGATGTAGGCCTCCCTGAGACTATGTGCCAGGGGGCTGCTGCCCATCAGGAACTCCAGGGTGCCCTTCATCACCCAGCTGGCATTGGTCTCCCCTGGGTGCACTCGCGCTGACAGGAACACCAGTGGACGGTTCCCTGGACACACACAAACACACATCACATAAAAAAATACACTCAGCAACACACATCCCCAAAGAAGGATGAGACAGTAATGTGACAGATAGACAGTGATATCTTTAAGTCATCCTAGGTCAGTCCCCACCTCAGTAGTCTGTGGTCAGTCAGTACTCACTGAACTGGCAGATCTGGTCGTTGCTGGTGGACTCGGGCATGGCGGTGATGGTGAGGAGGGGGCAGCTGTTGCCCCCAAGAGTCTCACACAGGACGTCCTGGCGCATGTAGATCTGAGGGGTGCGCAGCGCCTCCAGCTTCTGAAGGTGCATCTGGGCAGGAAGACAGGAACACAGACAATAAGGAAGCTTTACACAACAGTGGAGCTCTGTTGGGCTAGTAGAGTAGTACCTCTACTAATTAACATGTTCAATTAGAGTAGGTGTAGAACTATATTACCTTTAGAGTAGGTGTAGGGGTAGAAATATATTACCTTTAGAGTACAGTAGGTACACTCATCTAGTAACGGGTCGGACCCCCCTTTGCCTCCAGAACAGCCTGAATTCTTCGGGGAATTGATTATACAAGTCGGACACGTTCCACAGGGATGTTGGTCCATGCTGACGCGATAGCATCACACAGTTGCTGCAGATTGGTGGTACACCAGGAAGGATGGGTCCATGGACTCATGCTGCTTACGCCAAATCCTGACTGCCATCAGTGTGACGCAACAGGAACTGGGATTTGTCGGACCAGGCAATGTTTTTCCACTCCTCAATTGTCCAGTGTTGGTGATCGTGTGCTCACTGGAGCCGCTTCTTCTTGTTTTGAGCTGATAAGAGTGAAACCCGGTGTGGTCGTCTGCTGCAATAGCCCATCCGTGACAAGGATCGACGAGTTGTGCGTTCCGAGATGCCGTTCTGCACACGGTTGTACTGCGCTGTTATTTGCCTGTTTGTGGCCCGCCTGTCTTACCATTCTCCTTCGACCTCTCATCAACGAGCGGTTTTCACCCACAGGCCTGCCTCTGACTGGATGTTTTTTTGTTTGCCGCACCATTCTCGTTAATACCTAGAAAAGCCCAAGAGGCCATTTCTGAGATACTGGAACCTGCGTTCCTGGCACAGACAATCATACCACGCTCAAAGTCACTTAGGTCACTCGTTTTGCCCATGCTAACGTTCAATGGAACAGTAACTGAATGCATCGATGCCTGTCTGCCTGCTTTATATAGCAAGCCACGGCCACCTAGTATACCAAACATTAGGAACTCCTTCCTAATATTGAGTTGAGGTCCCCCTTTTGCCCTCAGAACAGCCATTGACTCTACAAGGTGTCAAAGGCATTCCACAGGGATGTGACCCATATTGACTCCAATGCTTCCCACAGTTGTGTCAAGTTGGCTAGATGTCCTTTGGGTGGTGGACCATTCTTGATACACACAGGAAACTGTTGAGCGTGAAAAACCCAGCAGCGTTGCAGTTCTTGACACAAACCAGTGCGCCTGGCACCTACTACCATACCCCGTTCAAAGGCACTTAAATATTTTCTCTTGCCCATTCACCCTCTGAATGGTACACACACACACAATTCATGTCTCAATTGTTTCAAGGCTTAAAAGTCCTTCTTTAACCCGTCTCCCTCCCTTCATCTACACTGATTGAAATGGATTTAACAAGTGACATCAATAAGGGATCATAGCTTTCACCTGGTCAGTCTATGTCATGGAAAGAGCAGGTGTCCTTAATGTTTTGTATACTCAGTGTATATTACCTTTAGAGTAGAGTAGGTGTAGGGGTAGTGGTAGGCGAAATAGCAGACATCGTCCTTGTGGTTGAAGGTCATGCTGAAGGTCATGGTGTAGTAGGACTTCCCCTTCTGACCGCCTGCCGCTATCGAGCTCCTGGAGAAGTGGTTTCTGGGTAAAAGGAGGTTGAAAAGTTCCCAAATGCTTGATACAATAACAAACAGAAACTTACAAACAAATTCACACTCATGACACCAGTATCTACCAAAGTGACCAACAAGGAACCTATTTGATGGCCCTGTTCAAATACCTTCCTTCCTTTCTCGTTTGCTTGGGGTAAGCACAGATCTGTAAGTTATTGGATAAGACAAAGCAAGGTTACCACCCTATTACTTTTTATAACAACCAATTTAGATCTGTGGTTACTTCAAGGAACAGGTCAGACGGAAGGATGCATTTCTAAAGTATTGGAACAGGGCTCATTTCTCCTGACAGGTGCACTACTTGTCCGGTGGGCTGTGTGATACTGACTCTGCTCACGGGGGTAAAGTAGGACAGTCACACCTACTTGTAGTAACAGATGTCCGTTCCGGTGCGAACCCAACGGGGCCTGCCACTAATGGCCTCCTGAACAGAGTACATCAGCACCTGCATACCTGCAAACGGTACATGCAGTCAATTACTAAGGAGAGGTTCATTATATACACACACCACAAACTGAATTAGCATTTCTATCTACACACAGCAGCTTTGCCACACATCAAAGGCTAAATAATGCAACAAAAATGACCAAGGCAGTCAGTCAGTCGCTTACCGTAGTTGAACTGGCTGTTGGACTTTTCACAGTTGATGATGTTGAAGCGATAGGGGGCTCCCACGCGCATGCCGCTCACCTCAAAGTAGAACCACTGGTGGTAGTGGTTACTGTTGATGTCGGAGTTTAGGATCAGGTCATACTCAAACCTGGAACACACACAGATCACATCAGCACAACCTTTAGGCAAACCAAATGGCCCACATGTGGGTACGGAGACAAAGTTGAATACAAAAAATACATGTTGTTCCCAGTTTATGTAACAATGGGACACAATACTCACTTTCTGACTTGAATAGCTTTCCTCAGGTTGCCAGACTCAAACTGAGAGTTGAACTTCAGAGATTCACCGTCATCAATCACTGGACAACTGAAACACAACAGAAACCCACACCGTGAGACACACACACACACAGACACATTCCAAGTTTCCTGGACTGAAGATGATGACGATGATGCTCACCTCTGTATGTCCAAGTCGTAGACCACTTTATCCAGGATGTCATTGGGGTGGATCAGCCTCTCAATGTCCTGGAAGATCTTAGTCCTGTAGGGGGGCAGAGGACTGAGTGACATCATCATCACACTGCAGCAGCAGAGGAGAGCACTAACAGAACAAACCAACCCTTCACTTAGACTCTATACTACTTTAAGCCACCCGACTACCAGAAATCAGTCATTGTTAGTGGAAAGAGGTGACACAAGGAGATTTGACTGTTAGCAATAAACCAGCAACTTTCCAGCTACTGGTCCAGTTCTCTTAATCTCAAATAACAGGGGGGAGAGGGAGTGCAAAACAGACACATTCAGTAGAACCTAGATCAGCGTCTAGGGGTCTCACCTCTGCACGCCATAGACCCTCTCCAGGATGTGTTCTCGGAAGGTGGGCGCCACGTGGCCAAAGTAGTCTGGGTAGGCCACTTCTGAGTACTGTGGCACAGAGCTTGTGCTCTTCACCATCTCCACGTATAGGTCAGGGTCGTGGAGTGGCAGGAGCAACGCCGTGTCCGGCACCTCCAGCACCGCCCCCTCGCCTCCCTCCTCCTCTGCTAACGTCTCCTCGGCCCCGCCCCCTTGCCGGGCAGCCAGCAGGGGGGGTTGTCTATTGTGCCTGTTGACCCCTCCTCCACCCCCTGCCCTGCCCTGAGGCCCAGCCCCCTCCAGGGCCACCCGCTCCAGCCCCTGCACAAGCTCCTGCTCCAGCCCCGGGTGTGGTTGGATTTGGCTGTGGTCACAGCAGCCATCTTGGTCCTTGGTGATATTGATGGTGTCCAGGTCCAGGGGATGGACTGGGGCCGGGGTGGCTGCTGGGGCCGGAGGAGAGGCTTCAGGGTGGGGGTGTTCACCTTTGGCCAGGTGGCACTCCCCCTGGAGGGGGGCGGCAGTGGGGTGTTTTGGGGGCAGGGCCTGGGCGGTGGGAACGATGATGGGGCGGTGAGACTTTGGAGCTGCCGGGGTGGCCGTCACACCGCTCTTTGGGTTATCAAAGTTAAATCCCTGCAGAGACACAAAGGAGATTGAACTTTAGGATGAGAGGCAGCTTTCTGATCACTTACCAGTGTGGTCCCCTCATGAAAAACACACTTCTGTATGTTTCACAGTGATTTTTTTCAGCAGCGGTGGCAAAGTTAGCGTGGGGGGGCGTGGTAGTGGGCATGGCCAATGGTGAACATTTTTGAGACCATCCTCTTGGCCGCAGAGACAACATTTTGCTGTTTTAAAGCTAATTTCCTGCAATTCTACATGGCTTATGCCATGTTCCTATGCTATCTGAGTGACTCAAACATTATAACAAAATCAATGGGGGGCCCCATGCAATAACAACTTTGGAATTTTAGATTCTCCCTGACTGTCTAGTTTTTATTTTGGTGGTTAGTTCTCAAAGAGGATCTTATTTAAAAAATATATAGCTCCATTATCTTTTCTACATACTGTATATCTGGTTTTAATCGTTTAAGTTTACACTGAAAACTTTTACCATCCCGAAAATTATTTTAAAAAACTAATAAAAACAAATATATATTTTAAATCATATATTTTGGAGTGGCGGCAATGAATATAGGGGAAACACTGGTTTTAAAATGGAATGTTACAATATTGATCTGATTTATTGATGTTGAAGATTCAACTAAAGACACAAAAAGGTTTACTGCATTACCTGGAAATCCTCTGAGAGCTCCAGAAAGAATCTCTCATAGATCTTCAGCTCCTCAAAAGGCCTGCTATGGGTCTCTTTGGGTCGCAGTTTACTGATGTCCGTTTCTATGTCATCATTCTGCAGGGGGGGAGAACACATCATCAAAACACCTAAATAAGCAGGAGCTGGATCCCAATGGAAAACAGTGTATTCAATTGTTTTCACTCTAACTTCAGAGAGAGAGAGAATGTGGACAGAGAGCAGCTGTGCTTGTGGTCAGTAGTGGTTGTGGTCACACTGGTGTTTGCATATTGCGTCCGTTGGTCTGGTCACTGCAGTGCACCTGTCCTGTGGTCATTTTGCGGTCAGTCAAACAAGGTGTGGTTTAAATGAAAAGGCTGTAGTCATGGTTACTGTACCCCGGCGTGGTGGTCCTTCTCCTCCTCCTCGTTCTCTGTGTCGTTCTCCGTCTCAGCGTCCTCATTATCATCGCTCTCGTCCACCACGTCATCCACTGGCAACCACACACAGGGACAAAGGTTGGGCTCAATTCCAGTTCTATTCAGTATTCAGTCATTCCAGGAAGTAAACTGACATTTTTCTCAGAGAAGCAGTGAGGACAATTGAACATTTAATTATAATTTCAGCTTACTTTCTGATTTGATGGAATTTAAATGGAATTGACTGCAAGATCAAGGCGTAATCGGACTGGTTACAGGGTCTAGGGTGAGTTTCCAAAAAACATAAGTATTTTTAAAAAATCTTTAGCACTAAAATAATCTTAAATCCAATGGTAAATGATCCCAATGCTAAATATGATCTTTATGATTTTAGCCCTGATTGGTTGGTTGGATTGTGTACTAGATGAGAGGAGAGATGATTGCAGGGTCGTTCCATGTCATTTCAGCAAGCCTTGACACCCACCATCTCAGATTGTTCTGAAATGGTTTCTGCAGTTAGCAACATAAAAGATAATCATTCTTGCAACATTATTTTGTTGAAATATGATTTGATCTCTGAGAAATTAAGCTAATTGACTGCACCCAAATTAGCCCTTTTAATTTACAGGATTCACATAATATTCAATAAATATAATAACCTAAAATCCGATTTGGACCAAACTTCCTCCGACCAATGAGTAAGACATGAGGAATCCAAAGAAATTGTCAAACGCCACCAACAGATCCTTCACACACTACACCAATCCCACCCCAAAGGCCAGTGCACAGGGTGACAAAATCCTCTTTTTTATGCTTTTTGAGGTGGAATGACCCTACAGGCAAATGTGAGAATAAGCAGCTAGGAGGGAGACGAGAGAAAGAGAGAGCGAGACAGAGAGACAGAGCGAAAGCGAGAGAGAACAGCTGGCGTCTCGATTGGGCAGCCTGCAGATGGCTTAATGAGTGAAGTGACATCAATGAACAACTGTTAGTAGAGTGAAAGTTCTTGAGTTAGAGTTCCTTAAAGTAGGGGAGACTGTATTATACTGTGCTAGTAGTATGATACTAGACAATGAGGAGTGTGACTCAGTAGTGGTTAGGCTACTATTTATTGTGACAAGTCTTACCCCATGGTGTAGAACTAGTAAATGGGTCTTCCTGAAAGGGGCATGTGTGGTGGAGCGTGTGAATAAACTGTGTGCAATAACCATTGGGGTGATCTAAGTGGCTAGCAAGCATTGTGAGTATAGTATGCGTGTGTGTGTGTATGCTTGTGCGCATACATGTATGTGTGTGACCCTCACCCCCCAGTGGCTGGTTGTAGAGCTGAGCGACGGGCCCTCCTGCCGGTACGTGGGGCAGCTGGTGGTGGAACACACTCTTGATAGTGGGCAGAGGGAGGCGGTTCTTGGGGAAGCACTTCCTCATGATAAGGCTGGAGGTGTTGATCAGAGGGTCCAGAGTCCTAACCGGAAGGCACTCCTAACAACACATCACCATCATTATTGATGGTCATCATCCTCACTGTCATCAGATTCATTATTTATCATCAGTGTTGGTATAATGTAAAGGGTGAGACTCAAAGTGAGGGTGTTGTGAAGAGAGAGTTGGGGTTAAGGCTAGGAGCATAGACAGAGGGTGGCTGACATGGGGCTCGAACCCCCGTCGCCAGGAGTATATGTGGTCCAGTCGGGAGCTTAGACCGCTACACCAGACTCTGGCACAAGTTTTGGGAATTTTGTCACCCTACTCACAGTGGAGGTGTTGTATAGGATCCTCATCCCGTCTGCATCTATAAAGGCCTTGCGGCCCAGCTTGATGTTGGTGATGTTCTTCAGGCAGCCCAGGATGCCCTTGCGGATGAGCATGTGGCGGTGGCGCGTGTCGTTGCGGTGCCAGTCCTGGTAGATGTACAACAGGACGGGCACATGGGCCTGGTCCACCACCCGCCGGGCATTCGTCTCTGAGGGAGGGAGTGTTGGATGGATGGATGGAGAAGAGAGAGAAAGAGGGATTGGGAGGGTGATGGAGAGAGGAAGGGAGAGATGAAGGGTTGGATAGAGTGAGCGAGGGAGGGATGGAGTAAAGGACACTGGTTGGTAATCGGCACAGAAAATAGCACTATTACTGAAAAAACATGACATTGTCCTGACACTGCAGAGAGAGAGAGAGAGAAAAAAAATACTTACTGGATTTGACCAAGGCCCCCAATGTGTCCAGGGATACTCTGTTAAGTAAAAGACATCCAGAGAAAGGGGTCAAAAACAGCACACACACACACACACACACACACACAGACACACAACTTACTTCAGCAGACTGGTGTTCTTTTTGCTGTAGGGTCCGATGATTTTGAACATGAGCTCCACCACTCCATTCTTCCCCAGGGTCACAGCATTCACAGCTGAAGACAGACAAACTGAACCTCAGTGCCCTCAACAATAACACCATATAGGAGTTGGCTGTAGTTGAGGCTACTACAGTAGGTTAGGTTAGTAACTGTCAGTCAGATTTATGGTTCCTATGGTAACAAAAGGTTAATAACTGTGTCAGATTTATGGTTCCTATTAGGTTTCTCCCCAGGATTTTTTAACAAGGTGGTGCTGCTGAGTATGGCCGGGGGACAGGCCCAGTAAGGGGCAGTGCCCCCCTTTGGATTTATTGTTGCGTTTTTTAACACATGTAACTGCCATTTCCTGCAATCTAGTGCCAAATATTGCTTTTTATTTTATTTATACAGTGCCTTCGGAAAATATTCAGACCAATTGACCTTTCCACATATTGTTACGTTACAGCCATACTCTAAAATTGATTGAATACATTTTTTGCCCTCATCAATCTACAAACAATACCCCATAATGACAAAGCAAAAACAGATTTTTAGAAATGTTTATTTCTACTTATTTACATAAGTATTCAGACCCTTTGCTATGAGACTCGAAATTGAGCTCAGATGCATCCTGTTTCTATAGATCATGCTTGAGATGTTTCTACAACTTGGAGTCCACCTGTGGTAAATTCAATTGATTGGACATGATTTGGAAAGGCACATACTTATCTATATAAGGTCCCACAGTTGACAGTGTATGTCAGAGCAAAAACCAAGCCATGAGGTCAAAGGAATTGTCCGTAGAGCTCCGTTACAGGATTGTGTCGAGGCACAGATCTGGGAAAGGGTACCAAAAAATGTCTGCAGCATTGAAGGTCCACAAGAATACAGTGGCCTCCATCATTCTTAAATGGAAGAAGTTTGGAACCACAAAGACTCTTCCTAGAGCTGGCCGCCCGGCCAAACTGAGCAATCAGGGGAGAAGGGCCTTGGTCAGGGAGGGGACCAAGAACCCGATGGTCACTCTGACAGAGCTCCAGAGTTCCTCTGTGGAGATAGGAGAACCTTCCAGAAGGACAACCATCTCTGCAGCACTCCACCAAATCAGGCCTTTATGGTAGAGTGGCCAGACGGAAGCCACTCCTCAATAAAAAGGCACATGACAGCTTGCTTGGAGTTTGCCAAAAGGCACCTAAAGGACTCTTAGACCATGAGAAACAAGATTCTCTGGTCTGATGAAACCAAGATTGAACTCTTTGGCCTGAATGCCAAGCGTCACATCTGGAGGAAACCTGGCACCATCCCTACAGTGGAAGCATGGTGGTGGAAACATCACGCCGTGGGGATGTTTTTCAGCGGCAGGGACTGGGAGACTAGTCAGGATCGAGGGAAAGATGAACGGAGCAACCTACAGAGATCCTTGATAAAAAACCTGCTCAAGAGCGCTCAGGACCTCAGACTGGGGCGAAGGTTCACCTTCCAACAGGAATGAATGTCCTTGAGTGGCC